GTATTGGTAGTAGTAGTGGATTCAAATTTAACATGCCTAATGTATTTTATTCAGACATTCTTCATACTATACACAATCATATTTCACTCAGCATGTCAACAATGGAAAATAAATCACTTATTCTGATTTCCAGCAAGAATATTGCATCAGCTGTGAATATGTGATCACATCTTATGTCTCGGTGAGTTTGCTATGATTATAGGTTGTGGAGTCAGTATCTAGAGCATGTCTAGCCACCTCTAAAATGGTTGATCGGCATATAATAGCGTTTAGCCAACAGTAATGTTTACATTAGGCCACCACTCAGTAATGAGAGGATGGAGCACTTGGGAAGCTTTTAACTCAAAAACCTCACATAGACACACGCATTACATTCTTCAGCACTTACACACTTTGCACTTAGAGGTCATAAAATCACCTATAAGAGGATCCCCAGAGCTAATGCACTTATATAGACAGAGTCAAAGATATAGCTCGGCCATGCATGTGGAAACTACTTCTAAAACATCTAGTGCATTTACATGTCTTATTTATTTGGTTCTCAGGTTGCAGCCAGTCATAAAAGGTGTCCTTCTAACCATGCACATTGCCATTTAGAGTCAATAAGGCAGTCAATACTAGCATACCTCCCATCATGTTTGCAATTTTGAACGCGAAACACATATGCAACTTACAGTGATTGATCATTTTGGGTGTGTTTACACTTGAAATTTAGTCTAGCTTTTATATTCTATGCAGAGTTCATATTTCAAGTGAACCACAGTTCATCAGGATTGCTTGAAAGCAGACAAAGACCTGTTTTAGCCATTTGTTTGGAGCAGAAAATATTTATAAAAATCATCTTCATACAGTACTTATCAAATGCACCAACAGAGCAATCAAATTCATTTTTATCAATACAAACTTGCCAAGTGTGAACTCATCCATACATTCAGGAAAAATGAACATAATTAAAGAGATGGTTCACCCAAAAATGAAAATACCCTCACCATTTACTCATTCTTCACTTATTCAAGTCCTATTTGAGATTCTATCTTCTGTTGAACACAAAAGAAGGTATTTTGAAAAATGCTGGTTGCTGGGACCCATTGAATTCCATAACAATTATTTTTCCTATTATGAATCCCAGCATTCTTCGAAATATCTTCTTTTGTGTTCAACAGAAGAAAATATCATAAAAATTTAGAAACATATGAAGGAGAGTAAATGATGTGGTATTTTTTTGGTGAACTGCCCCCTTATTCACAGAAATCATTAAAGAAAAAATTAAAGCATTATTAATTTTTTATAAATCTGTTCAAAAGAGCATGGTAAGTGTCAGGGATGTCCAGATCTGATCACGTGATCGGAAATCAAGCCAATCACGCGGCTTCAGACTCGATCTAAATCAGATGTTACCTCCTGATCAGGTATAAGGTAGGATGTGTATATATTCTCAATATTTTTTAACACATCTATAGTTCTGCAGTGGCACAGATTTATACCTCATTCTTGACTTCACACAGAAACAGCAAAGCTTGCGGCATGACAACACTTTTTTGCAGACACTATTGGTTAAATGCCGGCAAAGTAGAACACGGAAGTAGCTTAAAGAGGAAAACACGAGTATGTCTGTAGGCTGGAGGCTATTATAAAGTCAATGATTACAATATTGCCATAGAAAACTGTGAGATATGTAAACTTGGGATTGTCTGCTGGGTATTTTAAGTTGAGGTGCTATTTGTTTTTATATTAGATTTATTTTTATACCTACTGTTGCACTAAAGTCCAAAAGTGAAAAATGTATTTGATTTATTACTTGACAGAATTGTTGAATCTTAAAATAAGGTAAAATAAATAAGAAATAAGAAAAATAACACCCTGGATCTGTTTGTTTTTATATATTAAGTATCGAATAGGGTTTTGGTATAGGTCGAAATCAAATGACTCTGACTCAAGGGCAAAAAACCTGATCGGGACATCCCTAATGAGTGTGGTAAAGCAAAGGAAAACAAACAAATGTAAGAATAAATAATATGAAAAATGAGAACATCACAAAACAAAAGTGTGTTGAACGTTATTTTTTTAATGAAAATGTTATTTTACATTTACAGAGGATGTAGGAAAGAGGTAATGTGCAATGAAATTGTCATTACTACAAAATGAACTCCAACAGAGAGAAGAGGACACTGATGTGAAACATATTACACAGCTACTTAATAGATAAACGGATGACTATGAAATATTGATTTGAGTTTATATTACATTATTATGTGAAAAGACAGCTTGGGGTATACAGGAGCCACCTCAACATGTTTATTTTTGCAATAATGACTTTCTGAATAATTATGTAGATTCGTTGCGAAAAAACACCACCACATGGACATGAACTATTGATTTGAGAGAACAGTTTCTGTTTTGTTGCCTTGTAGAAAGTGTGGAGAAACAGAACACAATGACAAAGTAGAGATACTATGTTGCCTTGGAAAATGGTTATTATGTAGAAATATTTGAGTGCTGAATCAGAATCACATATTCACAGTATATAGACATCTTTTTCTATGTATAAGGTGAATTGGGTAGGCTTAACTGTCCATAGTGTATTTGTGTGATTGAGTGTGTGTGGATGTTTCTTAGTGATCGGTTGCAGCTAGAAAGGGCATCCACTGCATAAATTATACGCTAAATAAGTTTGCGTTTCATTCTGCTTTGGCAACCCCAGATTAATAAAGGGACTAAACTGAAAAGAAAATGAATGAATGAATAAACGTGGCTTTTTTTGTTGGTGTCAGACGGGCTGGTTTGGGTATTTCAGATTGCTGATCTACTTGGATTTTCACGCACAGCCATCTCTAGGGTTTACAGAGAATGGTCAGAAAAAAAAAATATCCAGTGAGCTGCAGTTCTGTGGGCACAAATACCTTGTTAATGCCAGAGGTCAGAGGAAAATGACCAGATTGGTTCGAGTTGATATACAGGCAACAGTAACTCAAATAAGCACTCGTTACAACCGAGGAATGCAGAAGAGCATCTCTGAGCGCACAACACCTCCGACATTGAGGTGGATGAGATACAGCAGCAGAAGACCACACTAAGTGCCACTCCTGTCAGCTAAGAACAGAAAACTGAGACTACAAATTACACAGGCTCACCAAAATTGGACAATAGAAGATTGTAAAAACGTTGCCTGGTCTGATGAGTCTCCATTTCTGCTGCGACATTCAGATGGTAGGGTCAGAATTTGGCATCAACAATGTGAAATCATGGATACATCCTTCCTTATATTAACAGTTCAGGCTGGTGGTGGTGTAATGGTGTGGGGGATATTTTCTTGGCACACTTTGGGCCCATTAGTACCACTTGACCATCGTGTCTTCCCACAATCCACCTGAGTATTGTTGTTGACCATGTCCATCACTTAATGACCACAGTGTACCCATTTACTAATGGCTACTTCCAGCAGGATAACGCGCCATGTCAGGCAGCTCAAATCATCTCAGACTTGTTTCTTGAACATGACAATGAGTTCACTGCACTCAAATGGCCTCCACAGTCACCAGATCTCAATCCAATAGAGCACCTTTGGGATGTGGTGGTGATTTGCATCATGAATGTGCAGCCGACAAATCTGCAGCAACCGCGTGATGCTACCATGTCAATATTGACTAAAATCTCTGAGGAATATTTCCAGTACCTTGTTGAAATTATGCCACGAAGGATAAAGGCCATTCTGAAGGCAAAAGTGGGTACAACCCAGCACTAGTAAAGGCTGATTTATACTTCTGCGACAAGTATAAAAGAAAAAGAAACTCAACACAAAAACATAACATAACTTCCTGCCAGCTAGGGTTTCGGGTGTGTTATTGTAGAGCAACACAAACAGCACGCAGAAGTCTAAATGCAGAGCTATGCGCAAGGCAGGCGCCGTGGGTCACATCGATCGCTCAACACAGAAGTATAAACCAGCCTGAAGGTGTACCTAATAAAGTGGCCAGTGAGTGTGCATACAATTCTGTTGTTGATACGCCATGCAGTATCTGATTTAAGCTTAGCATCTTGAGCTAAAGCACAAAAAGTTGGAAAATATACACTGTTATAGTCAACTCTTTTATTCTCAATAAGTTAAACAACAATTAGTAGCATCAAATGTCCCTACCACAGTTAAGCATTTTGCATTATTACACATTAATAAAGAATTCATTTTACTGTGAAGCATACATTTGTTATGTATCATTCCTGGTTTAAGTAAAATGAATGCAAAATACCTCAAATGTACCAGGAATTCTAAAATGAGTGTGTATATATATTTAAAATTAAAGACATTCTGATATTCATTCATTTAAACTTTCAAAACAACAAAGTATAATTGTAATAAAGAAAAATTCTTTATATAGCTTTCAAATATCTAGATGCCAGTATATGCACAAAGACACATACTGTACAGCAGCAAATGTCCTTCTTCTTTTGTTAATTTCATGCACACACATGCAGTCATGCACACATTTATATTCTCCATCTGTCGTGTATGATAATGCATGTGGTTTTATGACATGGTTCTATCTGTCACAAGGTCACCCATTTTGTTCTGCCCACAAACCTTCTGCGCCTTTCACATAGGAAGTAGCATCTAGTGTGGTATTAAGCCACTTCCTCCATGCAACAACTATCTGGGAGAGACAGACAACGCTGAAAGAAACACACCCTCACCCACTCAAACCAACATGCATGTTTGACCAGGCACAACCTTGTGAATCATTTGAACGATGCTTTGCTTGTGTGTATTTAATTAAGCTCTTGCTAAAATAAGACAATATTTAAGTGAGCTTCATCTCGAGGGCACTTTCATTACAATTCAATTTGATATAACAGACTGAACCAAATGCTGACATCAAATCAAACAGCCACAAACGACTCCTATCACAAAAGCACAAAGGTGGAGAGAAATAGACGAGAAATGGAGAATGAGGAGGCGTCGGAACACATCAAAATATACAGAGCAGCTAAAATATGACAATCCTCACCAGTTCAACTGATCCATAGTGTTTCCGGCTGAATTCTCCTCTCCTGCATCCGAGATCCTCTGACGCTGAGCTGAAAAACAGAGCAGATGATCATTCACAATGATTCATACAGTTTTAACCACATGCCCTGTTTCAGACATCTCTGATATAAAGCAATATAGAAAGAATTTACTTGATTTGACATTAAGCCATGTCAGTCTATTCATTGTTTGGCAAGGATAAGCTGAAATGTTTTAAAAGGCTTATTTCCTAATGGGTAATGTTCTGCTATCTGATTCATTTCAACTTGTGATAATGCAAAGAGTACTAACATTTGCAATGTCATGACTAGAAACCTGCATTATAAAATGTTGAAGCCCCGCCCACTTCTGTTCACGGCCACGTAATGTCACAGTCTGACACTTTCTAAGTGAAGTAGTTTCAGATTATTAGAGAGAACCACATGCTCAGTGACTCAGCTGACAACATCACACATCTTCCCAAAACCTCTGAGATTTGCACTTAGTGAAATCACTTCACAGGAAGACCATGCAGGCACTGAAGGCGTGAAATTTTTGCTGCTAGTAGTTTAACAAAATAGCTAAGTACTGGCAGTTTTTAGGAAGGTTTGCAAAATAGTCCGAACTAGTTGAAAACAATAAAATGGCCGACAACTCAAGAACCATAAGCTTTAAAAGCACTCTTATAATAAAGATGCCAGGAAGAACCAATAAGGTTTTTTTTCACAGTGATGCCATAGAGAATATTTTCCCCAAAGACCTTTTTAGTGAGAAGTCCTTTTTAATTGAAAATAAATAATTACAAATCTAAATCTACCAAAAAAAAAAGTGGAATTAAAATATTTCAAGAATTTTAAAGAGGTGGTCCAGAGTGTATTTTAAAGCTTGCTTGTGTTCATGGGATGCAAAGCAATGTGTGCTCATGCTTCATTTGAAAAAATAAAAAATAAACAAATAAATCACATTATTTTTTTTCATATATCCTACTTATACTGCTACTCAGCTAACATGAAACTGACTCAAATTTCAGTCAGAGTAGCCGAGACAATGCAACGCTGCTGAAGACTGGGTGTTTACAGTGATTTGATGGATAAATACGAGTCTGTAGCTAAATTTGTTAGCAGTAACAAATAGCATTTCCTGTTGTTTACATCCTTGCTACAACATACCGTTAATGCTAGACACTATGGACTTAATAAATCAATATTAACAAATGAAAATACTTACAGGTTGTGGCTCACAATCCACAGCTTCTTCTATTATGGTTGGAGCAGCTCCTCCTTTGAGGAGGTTTAGCTAAATCCAGCACTGAACTGGGAGAGATTCAGGAAGCTCTCCTTTGTCAAATTCTAAAGCTATTTTTTTTATAATTCTCTGTAACATAATAAAAATATATTGTAATTACTTCTGTCTTTGTGTCATGTCCTTTGGAAGCCCCAAATACAGAAACGGATCAAGCTCTGTGGAAATAGCAGCATTTGGACGGCATTTTAGCTTTCGCTGCTATAACATTACAGAGCCACTGGCCACATCCCTTTGCTGCGCAGGGTATACTGTATGCACGTGGTGAATTAGACCCCTTAGTTTTTTCGCAATTCCGTAATTGCTGAATCCAATGCAAAATTAACAAAAAGTCGCACATTTTTGCTAAATTCTTAATTTAAATGCAAAATAATCACAAAAATGTCAATTATCTCATAATTCCAAACCACATAATCAAATTATATTTATTTCAGTTTGCAATTAATTGTTTTACATGATCTATAGATGTTGCATACGCAGAACACATGATGATACATTTGAGTGTTTCTTGACAAATGACGTTTCATCTGCGCCCTCACAATCTCTACATTACATGAAATGGGGGCAGGGGAGTTTTCAACTTAAGCAGTAAGCAGTAAGGAGACACAGATGAAGCGCAAGTGATTTACATGTGTAGTCATAGCAAAGATGATGGACATCTTGTGACGCGAATTGGGTGTTTTGTGCCCAAGCAAACGGAGCAGTGCAACAGACAGTTGAAGATGAGATGCCACTGGATGTGACCGAATTGAAGGGTCTTTGTGCTTTACATGTTTGGCTGGTATTATGGTGTGTGTCAAGTGTGTCAAGTTGATAAATTATTCAGTTTATCTCTTTCCCAGCAGTTAACAAGAGAAAATGTGTTTTAGGTGTATTACGGTAGGGGAAGCCCTAACGCATGTCCTATGTGTGGCCATGTCAGATGCTCCGGGGAGTGAAATGTGAGAAAAAGTAAGATCGTGGATAAAAATAAGAATAGTACAACCTTCCTTTGGCTTAATCCCTACCGTTTTAGATCTGTTTTACATCTTGTCTATACAATTGATCAAAATAAAGAAACTTTATTTTTATGATTTGTGTCATTGTCATTGTTTCAGATTGCACACATAACATGGTAGGCAACCTAATATATAGTTTTTACATTTATATATACATTTTTATTCGCAAACTTTTTTATTAACTTGTTATTTTAATCGCAAAAAAATCATAAAAAGCTACGGGGGTCGGATGTATGCGTGTAACCTAAAGGGTTTGTGATCTTACTAGCCTAGATGTATTTTTTTTTAGTCCCTAAATTTCGTTCGCTGGCTTTACTAAGCTAGCTCTGTAAAAGTCAATGTCTACCTTTGCATTGAACTTTGAGCGTATTACATTCAGAGATGTTGTCACAGATGATGTTCACACATCTTACACATGAACTAAAATTTAAAATATGACATCGTAGTGGACCACCCCTTTAAAGGTTCTTCTTAAAGCCACTTATGCCAATGAAGAACCTTTACTTTTAAGTTATTTTTAAGAAACGCAGGTGTATTTATATGGCAACAGATAATTATTATATTCTTGTTTTCCAGCAAAAGTAAATGCATAACTTTCATCAGTTACAGCTGGATAATTTCGACTATTATTGCAAGTAAGAAATTGTATCTACTGTTGTATGATAAGTACAAACAACTTTATTAGTTGAATTGAATGTTTTTTTTTTCTTAAAAAAATCAACAACTAGAAATATAGTAGAATTAATATTATGCATACTTAAAGGGGGATGGATGAGTACAAATCTGAGTACAAGGTCTGATCAGAACTGCATGTCACATACTATAAGATCACCTTCAAAAGGCACTTCCAAGTGAAAACTTTTATGGAAAGCAGCCGTAGTTACTTTTTCAGCCCTGTCCCTGTCTGCCATTGGCCAAACAAATGTATAGTTCTGCCCACAAACTCATATCACAAGTGTAGCCCGTGTTATGTCAGCTTGCGATGTTTATATAAAAAAAGTCAAGTTTTGATTACACCATTGAGTCACAGTGTTTACTTTTCAGGTGCATCAGCCTACGACTGGCTTACTTTTGGATGTCAGTGTATATTAACTGCTATATGAGAAAGTATTTCAACATAAAAAAGTCTACACAGTATATACTAACACCAGCTTTAATAATGCTGCTATTTTTACTTGTGATTTTAGCCAGTCAAGATTTAGTGCTCCTCAAATTATTTTCTTTTTCAAAACATTTGCTCTATCGAAAGCAATATTTCCTCCGACTAAGGCTTAAACAATTTATATGCTGAACGCTAACATTTATTATAGACATTTGACTTCAAGTGCATGTAAATGGTGCATGTGAGCAAACACATTTCCTCTGTGTGAGGACTATGATTACATTTCCATTAGTGCAGAATGCAGCTAAGAATGTCTTTAAAGACAGCAGAAGAGATTCTGTGCATAGCGTGCACGTGTATATGGAGTTAAAAGAAAATCTGTAGACTTCTAAACGCATTTTAGTTCATTTAATATGGTACATCTGTTAAATGACTCTTGTATTGTTAGCTAAAATATATATAGAATAACCCAAAGTATTTACTTTTTTCAAATCTGAGTTCTGCATGTGCAGATCCCATGTGGGAATGGTTATGAGCAATATACTTCTGATCACGAGACTGCACATGCATTCTTTGATTATTTATGTAGCTTTAGCAGACTTTTAAACATAGATGCCTCATTTCCTATTCACTGCTGCACGTAATAGTTCATAGTGGGGGAAGGGAGGGTATGGTTAATTGAAACAAGAGAAAATAAAAATCTTAAATGAGATACAACGTTGATATCAGAAATGACCTCATAATCCTGTCAAAATGACCTACTGATGAATTACAGTCACTTCTTAGAAACACATTTTATGACTTGAAGAACGTAAAGGCAAAATGTTTGACATGGAAGACGTGGAAAGAACAGAATGGCTCCTCGTTAGATGATTTACTGTGGCTGAGGGTTTGACAGAAAGATTTAGTAAACACCCCAAAGGAGAAAACAATGAAGACATCTTAATACTCAGAATGGCTAATTGTTTCATTCATATCTTAAGACAAACCTTTGATTGTTGCTCACATCTGAATGGCTGTGTTGATAAAAAAGAGAATAATCTAAAGGATGTCAGATTTTTTCCCCACACAAACAAATCCCATAATGATGATGACGATAGTGGTCGTGCTCCAGCGGATGACTGTATTTGTGATTATGATAATGATGACAGCAACAGCATGACATAATTAGCGTGGCCATTACCCTCTGGTGCTACCGCGAAACCAAATACGGTCAAGTTTGTTCACAGTAATCACTCCTGTTATGCATCTGCGATAATAATTTAGTGATAATGATCTGGCATGATATATCATGTTTCCAATGATGCAGAGCACAGTGCCTCAGAAATGTTCCAGACCGAGCACCTCTGATGTCTTCCCACATGACCATAAAAAAGGTTACAAGGGATGATGCCACAGACAATCTGGCAAACAAGCATCTGACACCGCAATCGTTAACAACAACATCACCGGCCCTCGAACTTCGACTTTCTCATTATGCGCCACAACACATGCTGTAGAAAGAAAAAGCAATCGCATTGTTAAAACAGATTCATATAATTAAGCCGACTATGACTGCAGCAAGAGTTCAAAGTACTTGACTTTGAAAATATGATAAAATAAAAACACTTTAGATATTGCAAGGAAGGAAGGAAAGAGAAAATCACTTAATTTAATTGAAAGCTGAACA